CATGGTCAGAACCAGCCACAAATGAGCCCTGATCACGGACAGCCCCCTGTCTAGACTTGATTACGGAGTCAGAGTTTGCTCTCTTGTTGTGCTCTAGCACATTTTCATCACCATTGCTGTTCTGTCTGATGCGGGAAGATTCTTTTGTGTCCGGCACGCTACCCTGGGTGGTTATGAGACCGCCTGTCATAGTGTTTCTGGAGGCAGGAAGGGATAAATGCCTGGACTTGGCTTCTGCCTTCATAGGCATACTCCCCAATTGAGCCTCATCTGCACTAGACCTTCAGTCTCCAACATCAGATGTCCCCGCATCCATAGTGTGATGGACCGCCTTGCACCCTGACTGGTACCTCCATCAATCGCTGCTTCCTAGTACTTGCGAGTACCATCAGCACTGCACTGTAACACCATAATCACCGTAAACCTCACTAACTGCCGCAGCTTGGTTGGGGTCTCGCCGTCCTCCACCCACCCTGGACCCAAGACCAGGATCCAGCTTCCAGTGGGTAGGTCTCTCCTAGTCCAGAGAGTGTAGCAGGAACAGCTCTTAGAAGAGCTAGTGATTATACTCAGGGAAGTATTGTGATATAGCAATCCCCAGAGTGAATGTAGTTCTCCAATCCCCCAAAGAGAGCCAAGGGGTAAAGCATTCTGTTTAATGGCAGCCACCACTGGCCTTATATGCAAGTCCCCATGCAAGGGGTTCTTCCACCTGGACCTTGTGAGGAACTGCAGCACCAAGTCACAGACCAATAACAACAATGGTTAAATGCATGACACTCCCAAATACAAACACACAATCCCTCCACTCTGCCTTGAAGATAATTGAATCAGGAACTGTACTAATCTAATCCAATTATCTCCAAGCACAGAAAAAACATACTTTTTAGAAACACCCCAAAATTACCCTAAAAATACATAAAACCCTTCAGGAATTTCCTGGAAGTCTTATTTTTGACCCACTGTGCCCAAAACAGTTCCAGAGAATTTGGGCAAACGGTCGGTCTCTTTGTCTGGAGTACAAAAGTACATACTTCACAGGAACAGAGCCTTTTAAAGTACATTGGGCGAGATATTTTGCAGGGCCTATGGTCCTAACGGAAGAGGCTGGCCAGCAGCCCCCTCCAAGAACGAGGTTCAGTTTGTTAAAGGGCCATAATCACAGGGTAGGATGCTGGCAAACAGGCCCCTCCAAAAGCCAGTGACGAGGCTACTTTCATAACATATCTTCCCTCCCAAGAGGAGACTAACCAGGTACCTGACCTCCTGTCGGTCGGTACCTGAGTTAGTCGAGCAACCCACCCCCAACCAAGTAGTAACCGAATGTCTCCACCCCCTGCTGGGATGAGGGACCGACAATCTCCTCTCCCGGTAACACTGTCGGCCACTGGGGAGAGAGACCGCTTGTCTCCTCTCCCCTTATGGTACACTGCTGCTGGGGAGTAGGACCGACTGTCCCTACTCCTGGTAACTCTGGATGCTGCTGGGGAGTGAGACCAACCATCTCCACTCCCTGTAACTCACCCAGCCGCTGGGGAGTGCGATTGACCGTCTCTTCTCCTGGTAACTCCGGCTGTAGCAGGGGATCTGGACCGGATGCCCAGCATTCCTGTAGGGCTGGTGGAGAGACTTTGGCCCCATCTCCACCTGCCACTTAGGGTTCCTCACAGGAGCAGTCTATGAGGTCCCCTACTTCGGTAGCTGGTAGTGAAGCAGGGGGGATCTCAGCCAAATGTTCCCAGCTGTAGGGTGGCAGATCTGGTTCTGCCTGTCAAGTAAATTAGGGTTGAATTGAGCTGAGCATGTGTTGGTAGTCCTGCTCCAGCTCCCACTTGCTTGTTAACAGGGCGGTTAGGTCTCGTCTCACCTCGTTGGCATCAGCCCAAACATGCTTACCCACCCTGTAGTCATAGATGTCCCGAAATCTAGACTCCTCCGTGCTGCCGAAATCAATGTCCTCCTCCAAGGCATCCCATAGTAAACCAGGGCCATCATAATCATCACCTTTGGGCCAGACGTACTCAGCCGTCCATGGGGCCGAACCGTATACCACCATAGGGTTTGGTCGGTGTCGTCTAGGCAAAGCTCCTTACATACCAAGCTCTTGAGTTCTGTCACCCACTCATCCAGGGGCTGCTCTCCCAAGACACACATTCACATCACCACACGCTTCTGTAGCCGCTGCTTGTCACTGGGGAGACTTTCGCCCTGCCGATGCTGTACGCCCTCCAATGATTCCAGCCAGGCGTCTTTCTGGACTGCATCCCTCTAGTCCAGGTTATTCTCCTCCTCATATAGGAACGCTATCCAGGAACTAACTGGTTCCATACTGCTGTAAACAGGGGCGCTGTATGGATACTAGCGTTGCCCTCAATTATACATCCATACGATGTAGACAGGGGCGCTGTACGGATACTTGCGTTGCTCTCAATTATAAATCCAAACGATGTAGACAGGGGCGCTGTACGGATACTAGCATTGCCCTCTGTTACGGTACCTCCAGTAGTAAATGCACAAACCGCCGTTTAGTGAATGCTCCCCATTCGCAATAATGTGGTCGGGTAGCGTATGCCGTATAACCATGCGAACTGCCAGCTAGGGAACACTCTAAACTCCCGAACGGTACCTGTACGGCTCCTTCCCTTCACGAGCTCCAAATACACAAACCGCCAATAGCAGCCGAACGGTAATAGTTTCCAAGCGGCAAATAATCCCAATAAGCAGTCTCTAGTCGCCGGTAATAAAATCCCCCCAATAACGAGACCAAGCTCCGCTTTGAGGGTAAAACACGAACTCGGTTTACTGTGGGCTACCTGCCCGTATTTATGCAGGTCTCCCAGTTGGTGGACACTCCCCTAGGGGACCAAATGGGAGACTGAAATAACAGAAGGACATGGGGACATTTTGGACATACATCCCCACAATATTCCCAGCATGCATCACAGTTTCCTCCCCTCTGCTCGGGAGATAATTGGGAAGTAATTCAATTATCTCCCCGAGCAGAGGCACATCGCCATTTTAACTCAAAGTTACAAAACACATTAAAACCCATAACTTTATAACTGCCGAACGTATTACATTCGTATAACACATCCCCAGATAGCCTGGATCTGAGTGCATATTATTGGCGAATAGCGCTCAGATCCCATACGCATAGTTCAATCGCCATGGAGTCAAAGTCTATTACAGCTCTTCGGTATGCGATTGACTCCATGGGAAGGCTATCTGGGTTAAGTCCATTCCTGTTGTTAAATCTCCTGAACGGCCAGTATTCGTATGCCTTTGTCGATTGAGAAGGGGAGGTCGACGGCTTCAGCGGTGTTCGGTTGAAAAAGTGTCAGTTTTGAGTTCCATGAAATAATCGTCGAACACCGCTGGGCTTTCGCATAGTCAAAATGGCCGCCGCCTCGTGGTTGACATCCGAACGACGACCACCCGGTATTCGGTTTTAATTGAGAAGTGTCTGTGGTTAACCGCAACGTTCTAATTGGGATCAATAGGTTAACCAGCAGCACACTTCTCTTCTGGGTGGCCGGCCGTTCGGTTGTTCTGTTCGACAAAAAAAATACATTAAACGAGGCATACGAATGGGGAAATTCATGCAAACGGCAAAACAGACGAATACAGCAATTTTAGTCCATACGGATGGGTCTGTCACACGGCTCCCCCCTTGTGGAACACTCCGGCAGACTCGGCTTGACCCTTTGGCGGGTCAACTTGGGGATGATCGGACTGGGAAGGAGTAGGGACGTCTGTTTGCCGGAATAACCCATCTGCATTCCCATTCTGCTTACCGGGTCGGTAGCTGATGGTGAAGTTGTAAGGCTGCAGTGATAAAACTCCACCTCAGCAGTCTGCCATTGTCTCCTGAGACCCGGTTAAGCCAGACAAGGGGATTGTGGTCTGTGATGAGGGAAAATTCTTGTCCGTATAAATAAGGGCTCAACTTCTTCAGTGCCCAGACCAGGGCTAAACACTCCTTCTCCACTGCCGCATAACTCACTTCCCGAGGTAGTAACTTTCTGCTTAGATATGCGACAGGGTGCTCTCCTCCATCTTCCCCGACCTGGCTCAGCACAGCCCCCAGTCCATACATGGAAGCATCTGTATGAACGAGAAAACGTTTGTTAGGGACTGGGGCAGCCAGGACAGGGGCATTCACAAGAGCTTGCTTCAGGGCCTGAAACGCGGCTTCACAAGCTGGAGACCACAGGACCTGCTTAGGTAAATTCTTCTTAGTCAGGTCAGTCAAGGGCTTGGCAACCGTACTGTAGTCAGGGACAAAACGTCGGTAATACCCTGCCGTCCCCAGGAAGGCCAGCACTTGGGTCTTGGTGATAGGTGTGGGCCAGTTAGCTACAGCCTCTACCTTGGCTGGCTCTGGTCGATGGCTCCCACATCCTACCCTGTGACCCAAGTACTGCACTTCTGCCATGCCTAAATGGCACTTGTCTGGCTTCAAGGTCAGGCCTGTGGCCTGAATCTTGTCCAGCACCACCCCTACGTGTACTAAGTGTTCTTCCCAGGACTCACTGTAGACCGCAATGTCATCCAGGTATGCACATGCAAATTCCTGGAAGCCATCGAGGAGCCTATCCACCATACGCTGGAAGGTAGTCGGAGCATTCTTCATCCCAAATGGCATGACCTTAAACTGGTACAGGCCAAATGGGGTGACGAATGCTGACTTAGGGATAGCATCCTCGGCCAGGGGGATCTGCCAATAACCTTTGCACAGGTCAATGGTGGTCAATGCGGTCTAATAACTCGTCTACCTGGGGCATCGGGTAGGCGTCAGTGATGGTCCGCTCGTTGAGTCGCCTGTAGTCCACACAGAACCGAGTGGTCCCATCCTTCTTAGGCACCAGGACTACAGGGGAGGCCCAAGGGCTGTCTGAGTGCTCGATAACCCCCAGCCTGGTCATCTCTTGTATCTTCTTCCGCATTCCTTCTCGGACTGCTTCAGGGATACGGTATGGGGGTTGTTGTAGGGGGTTCTGTCCGGGTGTCTCGACCTTGTGCACAGCTAGGGTAGTGTACCCGGGTTCTTGGGAGAACGTCGCCTGCTTCTCCCACAGAAGCTGTCTTGCCTGTACCTTCTCTGCCAGGTTTAACCGGTCCCCTAGCTGTACAAGACTAGTAAGGTCAGTCTGGGGATCCTTCTCTTACAAGTCAGGTAAGGGTAAATTCTCGGGGTCGTCAGTAGCTGGGGCACATACTGCCGCAACATCCTCTGGTCTCTCCTGATACTCTTTCAGCATGTTCACATGAAAGGATCGCTGAATCCTTTCATCTGCACAGCTGGCTATAAGATAGGTAGTATCACATACCTGAGCTAACACTTTATACGGGCCCTGCCAAGATGCTTGCATCTTGTTCGTCTTCACAGGCTTGAGCACTAGAACCTTCTGCCCAACCTGGAAGACCCGCTGTCGGGCACCCTGATTGTACCACCGCTTCTGTCTCCCCTGGGCCGCCTGGAGATTCTTCCTTACCATCAGGGATAGTTTCTCCATGCGGTCCCGGAGTTCCAGGACATATGGTACTATGGGGGTCCCTTCTTGCTCTGTCTCCCCCTCCCAGTGTCCTCTAATGAGATCTAGGGGTCCGCGGACCCTTCTCCCATAGAGTAACTCAAAGGGGGAGAACCCAGTAGATTCCTGGGGCACCTCTCTGTATGCAAATAGCAGATGAGGCAGGAATCGCTCCCAGTCTCTGCAAGTGTCAGTTAAGGTCCTCAACATCTGTTTGAGGGTGCCATTAAATCATTCGCAGAGACAGTTAGTCTGTGGGTGATAAGGTGAGCTAAGCAGAGGTTTAATGCTGCACACCTTCCACAGTTGCTGGGTAAGCACAGAGGTGAACTTAGTTCCTTGATCGGAGAGGATCTCCTGAGGGAACCCGACCCTAGTGAAAATTTTAACCAGGGCATCAGCAACCGTCTCTGCCTCTATATTAGACAGCGCTACTGCCTCTGGATAACGTGTGGCATAGTCCACCATGGTAAGAATGTATTTCTTACCTGATTGGCTAGCCCTGGCCAGTGGACCCACAATGTCAACGGCTATGCGGGAAAAGGGTTCTCCAATGATAGGCATCGACTGAAGCCTAGCCTTTGGGTGATCCTCCCGCTTACCTACCCGTTGACAGGTGTCACACGTGCTACAATAAGAGTTGTGGGTGCACATCTAGGTTAAAATTGGGCCAGAAAAAGTTTTGGGTGATTCTATGAGCTGTGCGGCAGGAACTTAGATGGCCCGCTAACGGCACATCATGCCCAATCCGCAGAATCTCCTGCCGGTATTTTGCAGGTACCACTAGCTGTCGATTCTGCGGAGGGGTACTCGGTTTCTGCGATGGTTTCGGGATCCTGTACAGCCTATACCCCACCCACTCGTAGTGTTCCCCATCTACTCCTTCTCCCCCAGAATCGGCCCTGGCCCTGTACTTTGCTAACGTCGGGTCTTCCCTAGTTTCCTTCCCATACATCTCTGGGGTATCCCAGCCTAAAGGGGCCTGGTCTAAGGTACAAGTCGGGGTAAAGAGTCTTACCTGGGTCTCAGCAGCAGGTGGGCCGGTCTCAGCGGCACGGGTCTGGGCACGGGTCGTGACAGCGTCCACTTCAGCGGGACCCATGGGAGCGAAGGCTGAAACAAGGGGCGCCAAGTCATTGCCAAGGAGGACATCCGCTGGTAAGTCCTTCATGACCCCCACATTCACATGTCTAGCGCCCACTCCCCAATCCAAATGTACCCGGGCAACGGGTAGACGAAACACGGCACCCCCGGCTACTCGCACTGCGACCGTGTCCCCGGTATGTTGGGCTTTGGATACCAGGTGCTTCTGGAGCAAAGTCATGGTTGCACCGGTATCCCGTAGACCACTGACCTCCTTCCCATTGACCTTTACACATTGCCGGTAGTGCTGTCTGTTATCCCGGTGGGCAGCTTGAACGGGGTCTGCCTCATGCAGGATGCCCCAGCACTCCTCTTCCTCTACACAGTGAGCCGCTGGGAGAGGTGGTCGTGGATTGCCCCCGGTGGGTCTCCTCCAGGACTGGTTCTGGTTGGCACTGTTCATCGGGCACTCCGGTCGCTTGTGCCCTGGCTGTTTGCATAGGTAGCACCGAATGGGTTGTGAGTACTCCCGTGAGTTAAACCGGGTGGCTGTCGGTACTGGGCAGACGGAGGGGGTGATGATGGCCGATTAATTGGAGGCTGATAGATGTTAGCTGCTGTTGGTGCTGCTTGCCTGTATTCCACTCTGGCGGGAGCCTTGCTGATGGAATTGTCCAGTTTGCGGGCATCTGTATATTCATCCGCCAGGCGAGCTGCTTCATGTAGAGTGGAGGGTTTACGGTCCCTTACCCACTCTCTGACCCCTGCTGGTAATTTGTCAAAGCAATGCTCCAATAGAAACATCTGCAGCACCTCTTCTCCGGACACAGCCTGGCACCCCGCCATCCAGTGGGCGGCTGTGCAGTGCACCTTACATGCCCATTCAACGTAAGAGTCCCCAGCTGTTTTAACAGTGTCTCTGAACCTCCTCCTGTATGCCTCTGGTGTAACGGCATACCGGGAGAGTAAAGCTTCCCTGACGGCCACATAATCCCGATCTCCTCATCAGGAATGGCCAGAAAAGCCTCGCTGGCCCGGCCGAATAACTTGCCGGACAATATAGTAACCCAGTCTTCCAGGGGTACCTTGTGCAGGGCACATTGCCGCTCAAAATCAGCAAGGTACCCATCAATCTCTCCTTCTGTCTCACTGAAGGCTTTAAATGCAGTAAACGGCACTTTCTTTCTCTCCCTCGGGTTTGCTGTGATTGGCGTAGCAGGTTGGCCCCCACAGCGGCCATGACCTGGGTGATGATC